TAAATTTGCTTTCTTAGCAATTTTGAAATGTGTAACACTGTACATGATTATTTACTATCTTCACCCCACCACACAATGGAATATGATCTCAAAGGAAAACCCAGCTGGGTGCAGTGGCGCACCCCTGTAATCCCAGCAGCTCGGGAGGCTGAGGCAGGAGGATGGCATGTTTGAGGCTAACTCCTAGGCTTAATGAGACCCTGTCTCAAAATAAAATATAAAAAGGGATGGGGGTGTGGGTAAGTGGGTAAGAGCCCCAGGTTCAATCCCCAGTACCAAAAAGAAAGCCAGCCGCCTTGTGTCCCCGCCCTCCCACCTCTCTAACTGGGCTTCATGGCCCTGGGCCATCGCTCTCCCTCCTGTAGCCTCTGGTATCCCTCTTCCACTCTCTGCTGGTTTGAATCCGATGGTTTTAGCCTCCACATGTTTGAGTGAGAACTTGCTCCCAGTGACTGTGAAGGCTGAGGCAGAAGGATCTCAAGTTCAAGGCCAGGCTCAGCAACTTTGAGAACGTACCTTAAAATAAAAACTACAAAGGGCTGGAGATGCGGCTCAGTGGGAGAGCGCCCCTGGGTTCCATGCCCAGCACCCTCAAATCAAATAAAATGAGGCGAGATCAGCTGTCCCCGAGCCTGGCCTTTCTCCTGCAGCACGGTGTTCTCCAGTCCCGTTTACGTTGTCACGAGTGACACCTTTCTTCCGAGGCTGGGTGGTGTTCCACTGTGTCTTCTCTGTGTCCCAACTTCTCTCTCTGGTCATCTGCGGGGGACATGTTGGTTCCGTCACTGGCCATCATGGTCACGTGGTGTTGACATACAACTGCAGACGTCTCCTCGAGACTCTGATCTCAGTCTTGGGTAGAAGCCCAGAGTGCGCTCCCTGGGTCCTGGGTGGTTCTCTTTTCAGTTTGTTGAGGGCCCTCCATACGGTTTCCCAAGATGGCGGTGCTCATCGGCTTTCCCCACCAACTCCTGGGCTGCTTGCTCTGGAACCTGGACCTACCCTCTGCTTCCCCCACCCACATCCCATGGATTGGGCCAGTGGGTGGACATGCCACCTGGGCCCAGGGCCTGTCTGCTTCTCCTGCTGTTCATCTGGACAGTGTGGTCCCTTGGCACACACCTGTGGTGCCCAGGTTCTGTGCTGGGCACCAGACTTGCAGAGGGGCCAGTGTGCCCTGGGGTCTGTGTCCACGTGGTGAGAATCCCTACTGCTGGTGGAGAGAATGCTTTGTGCACAAATATTTTGGCAATGCTTGTTGTGAGTGCAAACTGCCCACTTTTTCCAAAGTCACAGCTGTGTCCCAAAGTCACAGTGTTTTCTCAACCAATGGCTGCTGAAACAGCAACTGCTGTCCCTTGGCACCCTGGGGGGAGTTTTGTGTGTTTTAAGCAGAACCCTCATTTTTGGAAAGGTTGGGATCTTTTGATGCTAGGGGGCAGGGTCTGGGGCCCAGAGAGGCTGCAGCTTTGCCCAAGACTCAGTGATAAAGTTGAAGACCCACAACCCCTGGGATCTAGTTCTTAAATCCCTGGATCTTGGGTCCTGGGCAGAAATGCTTTGGGAAACCCTGCCAATCAGCAGCCAGGTGCAGCAGTCAGGACAGACAGGAAGTGTGAGTCATCAGGAAGTGGATCCCACGTCCTCCAAGGTCTAGCTGACCAAGCAAGCGCCGGCCTCCTCCTCCTCCTTCTCTGTCAATGGCCTGGGCCATGTGGCTTACTGACCTCTGACCTCATATGTTGGAACCACATACTTTCCTTAGACCCCAAGATTTCCAGATTACCGCCCCCACCTGCTGATGGCCAGCCTGTCTGGCCCGCTGGGTTCACCAAGGTCCAGTCCTCTTCCTACCCCCACCCCTTTGCAGGTTCCCTCTGACACGCCAGCCGCTGCCTCCGATCATGCCTTGGTTTTCCTTTCCTTGTGGCCTGCACCTGTCCCGTCTCTCTCCACAGAGACAGAGAGACGTAGACTACAGAAAGAGTTTCTTTCCTGAGCCGTTTGAGATGAGTCCACAGATAATCATGCATCTGTTCCTGGATACTACTGTGAGTTCCTGAGAGCAAGGACGTTTTCTTACATGAACTTGGTAAAAGGCACATTGACAGGGCACTGTTACTTATGAACTCAGGTTCATATTTAATTTTGCCAACTGTCCCGGTTGGGTATTAACTAAATGTGTTAGCTAGCTTGATTTAATCATTCCTTGTACCCCTAAACCAAACCACTAGAATATGTCCATTTAAACTCGGTCAAGGAGAACGATTTCCTTTAGCTCTTGGCCAGCCGCCCCACTCCCCGCAGGATCTGGCACCGCCCGGTGTGCTGCGTTGCTGGACTGTGGCATTCAGCCGGTCAGGTGCATTAACCACATCTGACCCAGGATATTTTCGATGTTGAGGGGTCTCGGAGAGGTCACAGGAACACCTGCACCCTGCTTAGTAGTCTGCTCTCCTCTCCTTTCGTTTCTTTGTCTTTTGTGATCTTGACCTCCTGTGGTCCACGAGGGTCCACCCATTCCCATCCAGCTGGCTGGTCCATGTCCAGCTCTGCCGTGTCCCCGTCCCTCCTGTCTAGCCCGGCTCATGCACTTCATCTGTTTCATTTTATGACTTTATTCCCTGCCCCTCGCTCCCCTTCTTGGCTTCCTTGGCCCCCAGGGACCTCCCAGTTTCCGAGAGGAGTTTAAAGCCCAGTCCTGTTTAGAGAGGGTTTTAAACCCTGCGCACAAACAGCTGCCGTCAGCTGCTACTTTCAAGCCCCCTGGTGACTGACTCGCCCATCCCCTGGTGGGGGTGCAGGGCCCAGGCAACCCCAGGAGGCTGCCTCCTCCTCTGCGCAGCCTGTGGCCTCATCAGAGGGTCTCACTGCCCTGGTGGCCAGGGGAGGTGTGACTGGCTGTGTGAGCCCCCTGCCTCTCCAGGACTCAGCCTGCTCTAACTGTGGCACCCTTGTCCCCACACCTGCAGCTTGTAAGGGTGACTGCAAAGGAAGCACCTAGCAGGCTGATGGGGGATCTGCTTTTGGCCACCCAGAGCCTGCTGTCCCCTGCTGTCAGCCCCGCCCGAGTGCTGGGCAGTTCAGGTGGGTCTGAGTTTGGGGTGTAGGGATCAGCATGAAGGGCTCTGTAGGGTCTCACACCCAAGCCCACACTTTATGTGAAAAACCTTACCCTGAGGCAGCGAGGAGTCCGGGGAGCCTAGAGCTCGTGGGGTCTCTGGACCCCAGACCTCCTGCCTCCCACCTCTCCCGGTCCCTGAGGCAGCACAGCTGTAGAATTAAGTCCGATTGGACCCCCAGAACCAGGGCTTGTGGGTCCTCCTCTGCCACTTCCTGGCTGCCCCTCTCTCTGACCGCACCCAGATTCCTCCCATTTGAAAACGAGGTCGGACGCCTCAGGTGAGGACTGGGTACCACTTCCCTGTGGTGTCATTCAGATCGGGGACTGAGATCTGCGCCCAGAATGGGAGAGTGGGGGCGGAACTTCCGCGCGCAGAGCCTGCCCGCGCTTCTAGGGCGCACCTGGGGCGCACCTGGGGCACCTAGCGGAGTGATCGCGGCCACGGAACCTCATTGGCCGGGACTGCGGCTGACTCAGTCTGGGGAGGGGCAGGGCAGGGGACGTCCACACCGAGGGCGGGCTCCCGCCAGAGCGCCACTTGTGGGCTCCATCCCTGACCAGCGCCCATCCCTGCTTGGACCCCGCGCGTCCCGGACCAACGAACCCTCCTCCCCCGCCGGGCGCCGCATCCAGTCCCCATTCGCCACCGACGCCCCTTCCTGGCGCAACTTCGGTCGCGTCCGGGGGGCCCCGCCAGCTATGGACTTCTTGGAGGAGGGCAGCTGGAGCCTGTCCTTCGCGGGAGCCGGCTTCCTGGGTCTCTACCACGTGGGCGTGACCCAGTGCCTGAGCCAGCGTGCCCCGCGTCTCCTCCAGGGCGCCCGCCGCTTCTATGGCTCCTCGTCTGGGGCGCTCAATGCCCTCGCCATTGTCTGCGGCAAGTCGACCGGTGCGTGCGGCCCAGGCTGCCCAGGGCGCGGAGTGGGGAGGAAGGCGGCAACCTCAATCCCATCCATCCCAAGGCGGGAGGACTCTTGATGGGGGCGGGGGGAGTCGAGAGAGATCCTGCTTGGGTCTGTTTAATCTGGGGATTACATTTGCCCCTATTTGCAGAGCGGGGTTCTGGGCTCAGAGACAGGAAGACTTCCCCAGGTCACTTGGGGGCAATAGGCAGATGGAGCCTTTGAACCCAGAGCTTGACATAGGAATTCTGCAGAGGGGTGGGCCCTCCTCTCTGGTCGAGCTCCAGCAGGGGGATTGGCCGCAGGGGAGTGCAGCTGTCCCCTCTCCAGGGCTCAGGACTCCTCTCCCTTCCTCCCTGAAGACTTCTGCTGCTCCCACCTCCTGGACTTGGTCAAGCACGTGGAGGGGCTCAGCCTGGGCATCTTCCACCCTGCCTACGCACCCATCGAACACATCAAGCAGCAGCTGCAGGACAAACTGCCAGAGAACAGCCACATCCTGGCCTCCCAGCGGCTGGGCATCTCGCTGACCCGCTGGCCTGATGGCCACAACTTCATAGTCACTGACTTTGCCACCAGAGATGAGCTCATTCAGGTGTGCAAGTCAGGGACCTGGGGCTCGGAGGCAGAGGGTAGAACAAGAGTGACTCTGAGGTGCTTCCCAGGGGCAGAGGCAGGTGTGGGAGCCTGGCGGGTGTCCAGGAGAGGAAAAGGGGGCTGCAAAGTCTGTTTCTAAATGCAGAGTCGGGGCAGAGTGGATGGCAGGGGTGTGTGCTTGCTGGGGAGGCTCCCTGGGCTGCCCTCAGAGGACCAGGCTGGGGAGGGGGCAGAGTCAGGACCGACAGGGCCTGCTCTTTCTGCCCAGCCCCACCCACCCATCCTCCAGGTGCATTCCCCTGCCACAGTGCTGGATCGAACCAGGGCTTCCCACACAACAGACAGGGGTTGTGCCACTGAGCTAGAGCCCCAGGCACTTTTGAGTCAGTGAGCAAGGCTTTATTGAGCATCTCTTCTGCACCAGGTCCAGCTCCTGGCATTGTGATTACTAGGGAAAACATCCTGGTCCCCCTGAGGCTAATGTGGATTGGACAAGTTAGGAAAGGAGCCAGTACTGGAACAGAGCAGGAGGCAGACACAGGGAAGACCAGCAGGGAGAGGCCCTCAGGCATGGCCGTGGGGTGGTAGGGAGGGCTGAGTGGAGCTGGACCCTGGGGGAGCGCAGACAGGTAGGGGGACAGGTCTCGGGGAGCAGCGGCTGAGGTGGGGAGTCCTGCCGCCCCCCCCCCCCGCCTGCAGCTGTGCCCGTCTTTCCCATCATGGGCTTTGTCTGCCACCCACCCTGGGTCCCCATATAGGGCACTTCATCTTGGTGCTCCCCGTCCCCAGCACTGGGACCATCTCAGTTCTGAGATGGCCAAGTCATAGGTGTCTGATATTAGCAAGCCGAGGGGGGAACCAGACCTGCTGTAGGCTCAGGTCCCTCAGTTCCTGAGGAAGCCAGCTGGGGACCCCATAGTGTGTCCCAGCCTCCTCTCCTGGATGGTGCAGAGTACAGACTTGGCGCATCATAGGTGCTCAGCAGACGTCGCTGTTGTCACCAAAGCTAATCTACAGAAAGGAGGCTCTCTCCTGCATTCCGGCTGGTCAGGCCAGGACAGGGTCTGCGTCTCCCAGAGAGGGTGGGGGTTCCCTCTCAGGCAGGGTCTATGCTCCTCGTGAGTGGGAGCACCAGTCAGCGGTGCCCAACCGGGAGTGGGTTTGCCCAGCTTATCGAGGTTGCCACATGTCCTGCGGTGCACAGACATTTCCATCTCCCCGTGACGATGTATCAGTCTATGCCCAGGGGGCTTGGTCTTCGGTAGGCATCTCCTTTCCAGGAGAGAGTAGATGGTGTTTTCCTGGTGGGTGAGTGCACAGGGCCTTGTGGCAGGTGCACCTGTTGATCAATGCCCAGGGGACAGTCTGTGGGACTGTCCAGGGGGGCGTTCCTTCAGGGAGGGTGAGGATGTGGCCTTGGTGCCGCTGCTTGTCTGTGCGGCTGGGGGTGGGGTCGCAGCAGCAGCCATGGTGGGCAGAGGTCCCCCAGCAGAAAGGAGGGGGACTCTTCCCTCCATCTTCCCTTGAGGGCTTGGTGGCCCCTCCGCACCTGCACACAGGACAGGAGTCGCCTCCTCTGTGCCGGAGGTCCCTGCCCAGGAGCGAGAACTCACATTCCCGTGGCTCTTGTCCCCAGGCCGTGGTCTGCTCCTTGTACTTCCCCTTCTACTGTGGGACAATCCCCCCTGAGTTCAGAGGGCAGGTGAGTGCCTCTTGAGTGTCCACAGCTCTGGGCAGCTGGGTACACGCCCCCTCTTTCTCCTTGAGCCCCTGCTGCGTGCCCAGCCCTCCCCACTGCGGGGCCTCGGGAGCAGGAGGGTCACTTGCTGCAGGTTCTTGGTGTGGAGGAGGGCGGGGGCGTCCTGAGAGGGCAGCACAGCCACCCGCCCACCTGAACTGCAGCGCTACATCGATGGGGCTCTGAGCAACAATCTGCCCTTCGCGGACTGCCCTTCCACCATCACCGTGTCCCCCTTCCATGGGACAGTGGACATCTGTCCCCGGAGCTCTTCGGCCAGCCTGCACGAGCTGAATGCTTTCAATGCCAGCTTCCAAATCTCCACCAAGAACTTCTTCCTGGGGTTCATATCACTCATACCCCCCAAACCTGAGGTAGGTCTGGGTCCCCCAAGGTGGTGGCCGAGGCCCCGGGCCTCAGACTCTGTGCCACGTCTCCTCCACCCCGCTCAGGGCAGTTGCAGCACATGCCGCATCTCACACCAAGCCTCCCGTCCGAAGCCAGGGTTCGCACCCTTCCTTCCCTCCCTCAGGGGCTGTTGAGTTAGGACGCGGCTCAGGCTGGGTGAGGACGCAGTGCTGCTGAGCTGGTTTGCAGAGGGGCCTTGGCCTGTGTCCCCCCGGGCCAGGCGCTGTGAGCAGGTGCTGCTATCATTTCCATTTCTCAGAGGACACAAAGGCTCAGACACCGCAAGCAACTTGCCCAAAGTCACACAGCTGAGATTTAGACTCCCAGCCAGTCTGGACTCATGTCTCCACGGCTGCCCTGGACTGTGCCCATATGGGCCATCTGTCCTCTAGGGAGGCACAACAAAGTGGACAACCCACCTACGTTTCCTGCTTTTTACCCTTGCATTTTCTGGGAGATGAATAATTTGACAACAGTTGATGGTTGCAACAAGCTCCTCCCCGACCACGCCCGGCTTGCCCGCCCTCCTGCTGCCACGTGCTCCATGATGTGTGCAACAAGGTCATGTCCATTTGCTGTGTCCTCCGGCTGGGTGCCGTGGTGCACATTTGTACTCCCAGCAACTGGGGAGACTGAGGCAGGAGGACCACAGGTTCAAGTTCAAGGTCAGCCTAGACAACTTAGTGAAACCCTGTCTTAAAAAATAAAAGCATCTGGGGAGGTAGCTGTCCCATCCCCAGAACTAAGCAAACAAATAGAACAAAAAGCAAAGATAAACAAAACTCACTCACGAGGTCCTTTCCACACCACCGCGCGGGCAGAAACTCCCGCTCCCGAGTATAGACCAGGAAATAGAGGCTCTCAAGAGACGGCACTGTGGTCCAAGGTCACACAGCAAGCAGGGGAGTGGGCAGGCCTCCGTCCCCATCTGCAGGTCCGTCTCCCTGCCCGTGGCACTCTGAGCAGGCCAGTGTGGGCCTGGTTCCTCTGCCACTCAGACTAGTCTGGAAATGAACATCCAAGGGCCCAAGGGAAGGGCTCTCTGCTCCCGCGTCTTCCAGGGGAGGGCCCTGAGGCCCAGGGGCAGGCTGGGCAAGGACTGGCAGCTAAGAGTCCCCAAGGAGAGCAGGATGTGGGGCCAGGGCAGGGGGGACCAAGCCAACCTCTTCTGCCTTCAGCCCTATCTGCCTTCCTACCTGGCGCCAGGGTCTGCCAAGGTCCCTCAGTTCCTCAGGGTCCCCCAGGTCCCTGGGCCCTGCCCAGGGTTTGCTCGAGGAGAGTAGGCAGGACCGAGACCACCCACTGAACTCCAGTCTCCAGTCTGGGACGGGCTGACCGGTGTGAGCCCAGGCCTGGCCCACTTGCCCTGCCCTGTGTGTCGCAGGTGGTGGCCGACAACTGCAGACAAGGGTACCTGGATGCCCTGAGGTTCCTGGAGGCACGTGGTGAGCGGCAGGGGATGGTGGTGGGCTGTGATCGTGTCCCACAGGTGCCAGGCAGACCCTGCCTTCCAGGCCTCTGAGCCACTAGGGACCTGGGCGCTCTCATCCTCTCTCAGCGACACCTGGGGACCAGAGAAGAATCACGCAGGTCCCTGGTGCAGGGTGACAGTAATGGGTGCAGAGAGACACCCCAGGGAGGGAAGCTCCAGGCTGTGGGAGCCCAGGGGAGACGTGGACTCAGCCTGGGATGGGGAGAGTGGTGCGCTCGCACCGACCGCAGGTGGGAAAAGTCTCCTGGGCTGGAGAACTGGGGTGTCACCCCCGCACAGGCCCCATGCTGCGCCCCACACGGAGGGGGAGGGAGGTGGACGTCGGCCGAGCACAGCCCGCGTCGTGTCCTGGTTGCGCCTAGTTCTCAGAACCCCTCTGCCATCCGACTGTCACAGAGAGGGAAACTGAGGCACGCAGGGTCACGCAGCTGGCAGGCGGCGGAGCCAGAGTTTGACCTGAGTCCTGTCTTCAGGGTCAGGCCCTGGAGAGCCACTGGGGAGGGCAGACAGCTGGGTGTGGGCGGGGGCGACTTGTCTGTCCTCTTCCTCCCCCTGGCCAGGACTCACCAAGGAGCCCGTGCTGTGGACGTTGGTCTCTAGGGACCCCCCAGCACCCCCTGCTAGGACCCCGGACGACGGCACGTCTTTCAACTGCCATGTGCCCACCGTGTTGGTCAAGGACGTGCCCAGCTTGGAGCAGCTCTCGCCAGAACTGGAGGCTGGTACTGCCCCTTCCTGCCCTGGGGTTGGGGCCAGGGACCCTGCCGTGAAGTAGCGTGATCTACGGGGTCAGCGCTTATTTAATGAGCACCTGCTAAGGGCCAAGTGTGCGGAGGGCCTTTTACGGGCTGCGTCACTCATTCCTCCGCAAACCCCGCCCCGCCCCCGCTTCCACGTCATTCTTACCCCATTTCTCTGATGAGGAAACTGAGGCTCAGGGACAGGGACCGGGCGAGGTCACAGAGCCTGAGGGGGAATTCGAATTCAGGTCTGTGCTTGAGAAAGGGCAGGGCAGCGGGTATGAGAGACACTGGGCTCCCGTGAGGAAGCCGGCTTTCGAGCCTCTCCTGGCCACCCTGGGGGCAGTGGGCAGCGAGGGAGGGACCTGTCGGGTGACACAGCCAAACCCTGGCAGAGGGAGGCTCTGCTCTGAGCCTTTTAGTCTCACCTTAGGTTTAACTAAGCGTCTGGATCTCAGCAACAGGAAGGGGCAAAGCCCGTAGGCACAGATGGTGAGGGGGAGTCCGAGATTTCAAAGGTGCGAGCAGCAGACACCCAGGAGATCCCGAGGGTCAGGGAGGCCCACGGGGCACCAGCACAGTGGTTGGGGGCGCAGCTGAGATAAGGGGCCGGGAGGCCAGGTCAGTGGCTGCCCAGCTGTGGAGGAGAGGGCTGGGAACCGGGAGGAGAGGTGGTGGTCCAGGCCTGGGCAGGGGCAGGATGCCGGGGAGGAGGTGCCTCTTCCTGGTTCTGGATGGTGCTGGTTCTGAGCTGAGCTTCTGAGGTCCAAGCCTGGGATCTGCAGGCCTCACAGTGTCCCTGCAGCCACACAGGGCAGCCAGCCGAGAGGGAAATGACAGCACAGGCCCCTGTCCACTCCCTCGATCCTCACCCACCTGCCCTGGGAGGAAGGTCGTGCCCGTGTCCTGGTTTTATCTGGGCCCAGGGAAGGAAAAGGACTCGTCCTGGGTGGGGCGGGTCTTGGGGCTGTGTTGACTGGGCTGGCCCTAGATGGCGTGGAGGCTGCTGGCGCCCCCAGGCCCACACTGCAGCCTGGAGGCTGGGATCTAGGCTCTGGCTCTGGTCAGTGAAGAGGGGACTTAGGAAATGGTTTCTGTGTTCACAGCTGTTGCTGAGGGTAATATGCCATGTGCTACTGCTCTGGAGGGGGTGTGGTGGGGACCCAAGGGGCCACGACAGACTACCCAGAGGGCCGGGAGAGGTGTGGGGTGCTGACAAGTACCATCTGGTGATGATCCTTCGTTTAGTCACTTTTCCACTCTGAACCTCAGTCTCCTCGTCTATGAAAGAGGCACACCATGCCCATCTCCAGGACATCAGTGAGAGGGCATGTGTGAAGGGCTTGGCACCCTGCTGGCACATGGCTGGGCTCCAACGGTGCTGTGTCCATCTGTGCAGAAAGGGGTGGGGTGGGGCACAATCTGTGGGCTGCCAGCTCTCAGGTGCCTGGAGGGCTGGCTGGAGGTGGGCAAACGGCCACAGCCACGAGGTGACTCTCTTGCAGCACTGAGGAAGGCTGTCAGGAGGGACCTCGGTGCCTGGGCCCGTTTCCGCCGGTCGGGGCCCGGGCAGGTGCTCTCGTACCTGCTCCTGCCCTGCACGCTGCCCTTTGAGTATGTGTACTTCCGCAGCAGAAGGTGAGGCGCAGTGGGGTGCTGGGAGGGACCTGGCTCGCAGGCAGGGTGGTGGGGAGACCAGCGTCCATGGTGGGCTGGGCGCTGGCAAGTGGCCCAGGGCCTTGGTGGGCTCCTCCACAGGGGAGGACAGGTGGGAGGCGGGCAGCAGCTGGATCCGGAGCCCAGGTCAGCTCCTGGCCCTGCCCTGCGCCTGGGACCTCTGGCCCCTGCTCTGCTCATTAGAGTCTCAGAGACGATGTTCCTGGGTGACTCTCAGAGCTGGTCCAGCTCAGATTAGCTGTGTGGCCTGGGCCAGCTCTCTTGACTGCTCTGGGCCACGTTAACTCTTCTCTAAAGCAGGGCTGGCCGAGATTCGGCCCCCGTCAGCCCTTGTGATGTGCTGAGTGACTCCTCCATTCACTCTGCCACTAGCCCTTAAGGGTCTGGGGCGAGGGGGCAGCAGCTCCTGTGGGGCTCACCACCCACTATTTAATCATTGCTGTGCAACTTCAGCTCTTCCTGGAGAGTCCTGGGAGAGGTCTACACTGGCTCTGAGCTGGCACAGCTCATACTAGTAGCTATTTGGCCTGGAGGGCTGCCCAGAGGAGATGACTTTGGAGCTAATCTGAAGGATGGATAAGAGTTTGCTAGGCACAGGGGAAGGGAAAAGCATGCCAGGCATAAGGGACAGCATCTGCAAAGGTCCTGGGGCAGAAGAGAGTAGGGCACATTCAAGGAGCAGAGAGGGAGGCCAGCTGGAGCTAGAAGCTGACAAGGGGCCACACCAGGGCTCTGCGGCGGACCGAGTGCTCTTCATCCTGGTGTTAGATGGGGGTTCAAGCAGGGAGGTGACACAGGGAGGTCTGTGTCCCATGCAAGGTCCGTGACAGTGAGTCACAGCCTCTGTCCTGCTCCACGTGAAGCTGATGACTGGGTCAGCCCAAAGCCAGGAGAGCGCTTTCTACCTACAGATTCTCCTCCTGCGGAGCTGTTTACTGAAACTACAAGTTGAAATTTAAAAAAAAAAGTAGATTCTAACCTTTGCAGCTAAAAAAAAAAAAAAAAGATCCATTATGTGAGCGCTACAGGGTCCTCTCAGAACACGGGAAATGCCCCCGTAGTTTTTCCCATCACCCCACGCTCCACGCGTAGTTTGCATTAACAGGGGCAGAGGGCCCAGAATGAGGGAGGGGACGGTCCGGCTTCCGTTTGGCTTGCTACCTGGCCTCCTCTGACCGTCTGCCCGCTGCAGCCCCTGTTCAGGCCCTCCCAGGGGGCGTGGCGAGTGGGCGGAGGTGTCCAGCCAGTGCTTTTCAGAGACAGGTAGAGGATGGGCTGGCGGTCCTGTGGGGTCCAGCGGCTCTGCGCACCCTGCACCTGGTGCTGGCTGGCCACGTCAGCAGCCAGGAACCCCGGGGGCCTTGCCAGGTGACGTTTCAGGAACCTCGAGAGGGAGAGTGGACGAGGGGACATGAGGAGGGGTCAGGAGCTGCGGGCAGGCTGACGGTCCTCGTGTGACAGGGGAGTAAAGCGGCAGACAGGTTCCCGAGCTTCTCAGGTCACGTAGCTAAGGAGCAGGAGAGGTGGGCGGCCCCTGCCTGGCCTTAAAGCCCCGCCCTTTCCACCTTGGGCTGTGCCCTGTGCCCCACCTGTGCCCTCGCTGGTGACCTGAGGCCCGCCACCTCTGCCGCATTCAGAGCCCATGGTGGATCGTGGTGCCCGCTCTGCCATGGTGGCCCACACCTCTGGACTCTTCGTACCCATCTGGGTAGCCCCTTCCTGTGGGCTGGTAGCTCCCTCAGGGTCTGAGGGGAGGTGGCCTCTGGGCTGGCTGCTGGGCGAGGCTGATGCTGTCCCCCGTCCAGGGTGGTGATCTGGCTGCCGGACGCGCCCGCAGACCTGTGGTGGATGTGGGGCCTGGTGAAGAGCACGGCTCTGGAGATCCACTCCAGGACCAAGGCCCGGCTCCTCAGGCTGGTCAGGTGAGTGGACAGGGGCCTGGGGGCACCAGCTGCTTCCTAGGACCCGGGACAGGCAGTCCACACCGCTGTCCTGGGCCCGTGCTGTGCCGTGAGGAGGACCTGGGTTGACTTCTCTGGGGCCAGTTCCCCGGTGGGTCCGTGTGACCTGCAGGGGACAGGAGGATCCCCTGCTTTGCCATCTCTGCCAGTCCTGTGCTGCTCCAGATGTCCCCGTGAGGCCTTGTCCAGGCTGGCCCGTGTGCCCAGCGAGCTGCCTGGCTCCTCCCTGGGCCTGTCTCCTGCTGCAGAGACCCCTGCCCTCCCCCTTCCTCCTCCACAGCCGTTTCCTTGTCCTGGAGACCGGTGGGAGTGGCCAGCCTGGTTCACTGAGGGCCTTGGGCAGGACCCCGACGTCAGCCTGGGCGCAGTGCCCCAGGGTGCCCCAGGGCCCCGCCCTTCGTCAGCCCACAAGCCCTGGAACTTAGTCACCACCGGTTCCCTCCGCAGTCCGCCTGTCACCGTGGTCGAGGACACGGCCCCCTCCAGCCCAGGGAAGCTCCTTCCATGGCCCTGTCCGCAGAGCTGTGGTCCACCCTCAGGTCTGTAGTGCAGGGCAGGGTCAGCCTGTGACGCCCCCAACGTGTCCTGCCTCGTCCGCCCCAGGATCTGCCATGCAGTTGACCTGGGTTTGGCTCACCTCCAGGAGCTGGAGCCCGCCGCTGGCCCAGGGAGGACGCTGGACTGCTGGGCCTTTGGGTTTTCCATGTATTTTTGTGGGTGCTTTATGGCTGTACACAGTGGCGGGACGCGACGTCACACACTCGTCCTGCACCCAGGTGGCAATATCATCTGGCCCCTGTGAGCTCCCTTCCCCTCCCTGGTGCCCCATTTTCATGAGACCGCCCCTGCTTTTCCTTTGTGCTCTGGAGGCACACCACCCTGGCGCCTTGCTGCGGACCTGTGGGCAGTTATCTCCCTGGTGGCCAAGGGCCCCTGCCCTCAGCAGCCCCTGCTCCTTGGAGCCTGTCGCTGGAACTTCCTGTTTGGAAGAGGCCCTGGTCACCCTGTCCTCCTGGCCACCCGCTCCATCAGGGGTGAGAGGATGGCAGGGGCCAGCACCCGGCCCAGCTCTGGAGTGTCCACCGGGCCGTGGAGGGCGCCTGTGAGGAGCAGGACGTGGGGTGCCCGGCCAGGAGCTGTTGGCAGCACGCTGTCCAGAAGTTGGGGCCACCGAATGCCCAGCTCAGGGAGCACAGTGAAAACGGGGGGCTCCCTTCACATCCTGTCTGCCCTTCTCTGACCCGAGCTGGCGGGGCGCTGTGCGTGTGTGGGGGACCCAGGGACCTGCCTCACCCAGGGAACCTCCCTCTCTGCGGGCCCTTGGTCCAGCCCGTGGGGGGCCCCAGGGGAGATGAAGCCGGGAGCGCGGGCCGAGTCTTGGGGACCCCAGCTGCAGGGCTTCTGCTGGGCCCCGAGGCCCTGCCACCCCGCAGCCTACTCCTTGGGAGGGCTCCTGGCAGGCGGAGCAGGCCTCCATCCTCCCCGTCCGCTGCGGGCAGACAGGCTGGGCCTCAGGCGCCCGCGCTCTCCTGGGAGTCCCTGCACTTCCTGCCCCAGCAGACCCCCCCTCCCCCGGCCAGGGGCTGGAGGGGGTGCGCAGCTCCCCCTGGGCATGGGGGGGCGGGAGATGAGGCCTGGGGAGAAGGGACCAAGGAATAAACAAGATCAGAAGAGAGAAGGAGTCACTCACTGTCCAGCTTCTGCCCAGTGAGTGCTGGGCTCTGGGCACCAGCTGCCAACAGAACTTCCACTCCCTGGCGAGGGCGAGGGGCGGGTGAGCGGGCACTGGGCAGCCAACGGACACTGCTCCCAGGGGTGGCAGCTGCAGGTACCCCCAGGGCGGGGAGCGCAGGGGGCAGCCAGGCCACTCAGAAAGGCCAAGAGTTGGAAGCAGAGGAACAGAGGGCCGGGGTGCTCCTCGGGCCTGGAGCCGCGAGGCCAGGGAGGACTGGGCCTTGGGCAAGGGAGCCTGGGTGAGAGAGGGCGAGGGGACGGGCCACGGGAGGCTCTGCACACCCATTCCAGCACCACCAGGCGGAGCTGGCCTCTGCCCCACTTGCGGTCTCCTGGGTGGGGCACAGACACCACCCCCTGCAGCAGGAGGGGCCTGTCCCACTCGGGGCATGTGGTCCCCAGCTCCATGGCCCACGGCCTGCACAGATGCTGGGTGTGGGGTCCTCCAGAGCAGGGGAGGCCTGGCCACCTGGGACTCCAGGCTGAGGGTCTAGATCCCAGGAGGCCTTGGAGGACATTCTTGCCCCTGGCCCTTTGTCCTGGTCACAGATAGACAGGAGTGCCATGGCCATAAGCACCTGGCCTCCCTCGTTACCCTGCCCCATCATCTCTTTACTCAGTGCCCTCTTTGTCCCATTGCTGTTCTGCACCATAGATGGGGACAGGCAGCAGGCTACCCTCCTCCCCGTCCACCCTCTCCCCTGACCACCCTCCCCCCGTCCACCCTCCCCCGCGTCCACCGGCCTCCCTGTCCACCCCCGTGCCCAGCAGCATGCTCTCAGAGGGGAATGCTGCCCTTGCGCTGACCCTCTGCTCTCAGACCTCCCTGGGATTCTGTC